TCAAACGCTAACACTACTACCGTTTCGTTAATATTTGCACAATGTTTAGACCATGTATATGTATACTACCGGGTTATACTCTGTTGTTGACGATTCTGATAGAACGGGTGACAAGCTTCCTGGCGCAAACAATGTATATTAATCTAGCGTCCATTGTCAGCATTGTTACAGTCAAGACTTCGTCTGAGAAATAGTTTCATTTTCTAAGTCTATATTCTATTTTAATAACATCATTTTACTAACGCAATGGCGATAAAAAAAAAAGCAAAGACGCCAATGACAGAGTAGGCAAAGAAAAATCTGCAACTCAGGGTCATATTACTAATTTAGACTTACCTGCAGCCTGTTGTAATTCCGATGCAAAATTACAGGACTTTCGCGTTCACCCTTCGTTTATGCAATTTATATTTATTTTTTAAGAATTTTTCATCGGAATCGCAACAGATAGCAAGCACGTCTAGGTCATATTATGACCAACCTCGCGAGTGGTTCGAAAGGGACGATTAGGCTGAAATATTCGCATCAACGCGAGAGTTTCAACTACTTAACCGATGACGACACCGATACGTGAGACCATGGATGTACTAAGAAACTACATCCATGGTGAGACCGTTGAGTGCCGGTGATCAGACGAGGAAGTGAGTATAGGAAATCTCGTCGACATCGGCCAAATAAACAAAACCATCGTTTCCGTTTATGCAGTAGCGTGCACTCATCTAATTTTCCGTTGACACTGCCGTTTTACTAGTAGTTTTCCATCTTCAGCAGTAGTTTCAATCCATTCACACAGCTTTACGTTTTTTCTCTCTTAATATTCTTAATAAAACAGTATTGATTGCCTAGAAACAGTTTGACCCGCTACATGCTTTATTTTGGAATTCAAAGTGATGAATATCGTCATAACAAATTATACTTGCTAATGACAACAAAAAAAGTAACATCGTGTGCTCCGGATCGTGTGAAACATACTTCGCGCTCTACTCGCTTTGAAGCTGCCGCCTATGCTAATGAGCATAGTTGCGGACGAAGCCTTACAACTTCAAGATGGCGTTAAAGGGGCACCTTCCAGTTAAGATTAATTTTACAACAAATTTACTTTCTGGATTAAAATAACAATGGATAACAAAAGATAGATTAACATTGTAAACAACATAAACAATAGTGTCCCATGATTCTTTGGTGCAATCCATGGGATTGAGCGGTTCCCCCTTTAATGTTACCAGCTCCCTGATGTTACACCGTAATAAGGCACCCAACACCAACGTGCATGTGTTTTGTAACCCCTCTCATCCCCTCCGGGGGATGTTATACATGTTAATAAATCTATGTTAAATACTTGCTGATTACCGAACCGTGCGGCATGTCGTCGGTAAATACTTGTTTACCGTAGTTCGCGAGCAGTCGGCGAAATAACCATTTAAAACTGAACATTTCTATAAGGCATGGTGTGTACCCTTACATCGATCGACCATTGAGATTCACGCTTTTCGACCAACCAATGGGAATCGTGCTCTTCGCAGAGTGACACTGCGATCCTGTCGCAGAGCGCAATAATCGACATTCGGCGAGTCGCATAATCGCGTCGCAGAGTTAGTTTTTAGACCCCCATACATACCTCTACCATGTCCTTGGGCGGAAACAAACTACTTTAATGTGTAGATTTTAGATGACGATTTAACAGTCTTACCTGCAAAGTTGACATGTCTAGTTTCAAACCGTCCAGTGTCTTCTGCATTTCCTCTAGCCTGTCTTCCAGTTGTCCATTCTTGAAAACCAAATATGGGATGAATACCATACAGAATAATAAGCAAATCATCGAAACACCGAGTACACACCGAAACACATTCTCAATCCTTCCCCTCTTCCCAAAGTCGCTACGCTTGTCTTCAGGAAACATTCTGGTGCAGTGTCCATACAATGTGTAACGTGTCAGACACCAAAATACTATGAGATAGGGTGTTATTGTCAAGTGACTGTATATAGACAAAAGACGGGGATAAGTGCGCATACTCATTTTCAGCCTATC